AGGGAGGAAAATTCCCTATAATCCCCAGGGATTCATACTCTTGTTATGATTTACTATGATGTCTGCTCTACGTTGTCAACTTGAAATATCTAGGGAGACGTGCCTCTAAGTGTGTGTTTGAGGACGTCTGCAGAGATGTTTAGCCGAGGGAGGGAAGCTCATTACAAGTGTGGCAGTGCACCTCCGTGCCTGACTTTGAAAGGCACCGGGGAAGCAGGGAGCCACCTGAGCACTAGCACTCACCTCTTTTCTGCCTCCTGACTGCACGTGTGATCAGCTATTGGATGCATCTGCTGCTCTGCCTTCCCCGCCGTGATGGACCATATCCCCACAAATTGACCCCAAATAGAACTTTCCACATTACAGTTTCTTCTTGGCAGGTATTTTGTTACAGTGAGAACTAGAACCAGTGTACAGATTTTTTTCCTCTATGGTTTCTGTGTTATTTTAGAATTTAACTTACATACCAGTCCATTTTAAAATGTTGTCAGAAAGGTATCTTTGGGTACTTGAAAGTTTCCATTTAGTATTTTATGGTTTTTCTGTGAGACCAAGAAACTGCAAGAAGATGAGACAGTGGCTTCTGGTCGTATATGGTAATGTCCCTTAGGATCTGTACCTGTTTTCTGCATTTTAGTTTTTCCACCAATCTTGAAGTACATGCAAGAATTACATGCTCTTCCTATAGTTAAAGAGACTAAGATTCAGATAAGCAGTTTGCTTCAGGAGAATTTGGGACAATTTTGTTGAGAATATTATGTGTCACCTCCTTTTGCCTTTCCTGTATCACCACAGATTTTAGCTGATAGCATCTTTGAGCAGCCTCTCAGGTGGTACACACTGCTGCTTGTGCCTGCAAACAGGTGTCTCTAAGGGTTATTACACTCTGACTTGATGAATGGTTCTGCTGTTTTTTTTTTTTTTTCCCCCATAATTAAAGCTTCTTTAAATGCAGCTGTATCTGTTAAGTTACACATTGTATTAAAGACATGACCCACAAAACTTGAAATATTTGCAGTCTGGTCTTTACACAGTTTGTGGACACTAGCTGTTTAGTTGTAATCTTTATTTATTTTTTTTTTTGGTAGCCTTTAAGGTTTCTCACTCATTTATGCAGCCACATTGTTTCCTGTTCCCCTTTTCCCTCAGATAAGTCATATAGCCATAGAATTTCATGCTTCAGTTTCTGTGATATTTTCTATAGTGATTAAATTTCTACCACACCGAACATGCCCAAATTCATCTGAATTTCTACATACCCATTTGTAGGCAATAATTTCAAAAAGTTTATTATTGGTTATTTTTGTAAACATCGTATACCTAACTGTAGCAGTTTAATCATGCTGTCTGCACTGTACCCTATGAAGAAAAGACTGGTGGTAGTTTACAGCAAAGTATAGGGGAACATTAATTTATATGACTGAGAGAGTTGGATTAAAATTGGGTGAGTCTTGTCTTGACATAAGGTGAATATGACACTTTTTTTTTAGATTTATTTATTTATTATTTATACATTATTCTGCCTCCACACCAGAAGAAGGCACTAGATCTCAGTATAAATGGTTGTGAGCCACCATGTGGTTGCTGGGAACTGAACTCAGGACCTTGGGAAGAACAGCCAGTGTTCTTAACCTCTGAGCCATCTCTCCAGCCCGAATATGACACTTTTATTCAACAGTAAAACATGAAATTTGTGTTCTTTCCACATTAGAACAAAAGCACTCAGTTACTGTCATTCTGCTTGTTTGACACCCATCAGAATTATGACTCATTTGAGCACTAGCTAGTTTTACACCAAGTTGTAGGTTTGGTAAGCATACTTCATAACACTGTCTCTTTTTAGTTCAAATGTTAGATAGCTTTTACTGTTTTTACTTCTCTGTATTGGCTGTTATCTGAAACCAACTCATTTGAGTTTGTGATTTGGTTCAGCTTACTGACTAAGGAAGACATTGTAATGCTTTCTTTTTTAATATTACTTGATAGATTATTATATGTTATTAATATGCATTTCAGTAACTTTCCTTTGCAGAAGGCTTTAGCAAATCTTGTTGACAAAGACCCCCAGTTGGTGACTTGGGGAGAAAACCCCTGTTGGTATCCAACAGATTTGAGCTTGTTCCCTTCGTGTTAAATAATTTAGTCTTTAAATCATTGCAATGGGGAAAATAATATTCTCTGTGGAGAGGGAATAAAAGATCAAATATAAAGCACTGTGAAAGTTCTCTTCCTGTGTGTCAGCATTTAAGAAGCCTAAATGTCATCCAGTTTACCAGCGCATTCCTGGGGCCTTCTGGTCATTACTTTGATTCTTTTTGACAGATGGATTTTTTTTTTTTTTTTTTTTTTTTTTTTTGGTGTTCTGTGTTGCCAATATAACAGTGATCTGACTCTTTGAAAAGTGTGGGAGGGCAGACACTTTGTCATCCCTCTTTAATCCTCATGTTGGAGCAGTGTGTGGGGGACTGGTTTTGTAGTGTGTATAGATGAGTTTATAATTCTACATTATTCTGATATCATCAGCCCACCTTACATTATTTGAGTTTCACCAGTGCTCTCAGTCAGTATGGTGGCAGCCACTTAGAGAAGTTGGTGTTGAAACCAGCAGTTTAATTTTTCTTAGCAAATTATGAAGCATAAAATGGCTGGTGAGTCACACTGCTTTTCACCAATGGTGTTTCCAATGCTTAGGAGTGATGAAGTATTAATACATGTATCTCAGTTACATATGTATGTATGTATGTATGTATGTATGTATGTATGTATGTATGTATGTATGTATATGTGTAATGACAGAACCACTTCAGAAATTAGTCAGGGCACATTGACTCATTAAATTCATATTTTCTTCCAATTCTTCATTCCAGGCAAGTCTGAACAGGATCTGAAAATAAATGATTAAAAGAACAGCAATTCAAAGTTGAATGGATATTTAATACACTGAAAAAGTAATCAAGCCCATCTGCGTTTCTTTTTTAAAAGATTACTTTTATTTATTTATTTTAGCTTTGTTTGTGTGTGGATTTTTGTGCATTTGGGTGCATTGCCCAAAGAGGCCACAAGAGGGCATTGGGTCCTCTGAAGCTGGAGTTACAGGCAGTTTTAAGCAGTGGATGTAGGTGCTGAGAACTGAACCCTGGCCCTCTGGAAGAGGAGCAAGTGTGTTCTTACTCACTGAGCCACCTTTCTGGCCCCTGACTTTTCTCTTTTATCTGTGTTTACTATTTGAGTATGATGGCTTGAAATATACTTTGCTGATACATTTCTGGTTTTGGTTTTCAGTGATTTTAGTATCTCTCAGTACAAAGTTAATGATGACAGGCAAAGAAAAAGAGTATCCCAATCCCTGGGAACAGTAGCATTCTGGGGAGTTGACTAGAGAATGTGTGAGGAAGACTAGAGAGCCTATCTGTGGACTGGAACTGTTTGGAAAGGATTTACTTCTAGGAGCTAAGAATGGAACTCCCCCCACCGTCAGTGTCTATTAGCTGCTTTGGGGTTGAGTACCGATCACACGCATGCACATGCTCACACGCATACAAGCTGGATCTTTGGGAGGTGTATGAGGGTATTTATTATGAGAAGTGTGTTTAGATTATTTCTGAGCAAGAAAATGTCCTTTTTTCCAAACATCTGACTACTGACAACCTGTAATTTGATGCTGTTTGGGGTTTTGAAATCCTTCAGGATTCATGGTGGCAGTTTACATACTGTTTTTCATCGTAAGTGACATTTCCGTACCGCTGATGTTGCTGGTTAGCACGCGCCTTCATTTATCTATTGTGAGTAAAAAGGCTTCAGGTGAAGTTTTAGTGAAGTTACTTTGGCTTCCTCTGACTTTGGTGAAGTCAGATCAGTCTGTATTTGAGTTCTGGGTATTTGGTGAAGGACCTCTCTTCTGATGTTCTAGTACCACCACCACCACCACCGCCACCGCCACCACTTCTTCCTCCTCCTTTTCTTCTTTTTCTTCTTCTTCCTCCCCCCCACCCCCAGGGTTTCTCTGTGTAGCCTTGGCTGTTCTGGACTCTCTTTGTAGACCAGGCTGGCCTAAAACACAGAGATCTGCCTGCCTGCCTTTGCCTCCTGAGTGCTGGAATTAAAGGCGTGCACCATCACACCTGGCTACCAAGCCAAACTTTAAAGAGTATGCTATTATTTTTTTGCATCTTTTAAAATATTTTTCTATTTTTCTTTGTAGTTACAATTATGGTATGTCATTCTCCCCTTCCCCTTTCTTCCTCCAACACCTCCTGTGTACACCTCTTGCTCTTTCTCAAATTCATGTCCTTGTTTTCTTTAATTATTGTTGTATGTGTGTATTTCTAACTTGCTAAATTTGTATGTTACTTGTATGAATAGATTTATGTGTTTTCAGGACTATTTGGTGTTGGATTACTAATTGGTGTGCTCTTCCCTGGGGAGGGCTGTTTTTCCTGCTCTCAGCATTGCTCAGTCACTTGTCATTTTTTTTTTTGTCTAGGATTCAGTCCTCATGAGTTTTAACCCTTCTATATCAGTGTGTCTTTTTTTTTTTTTTTTTTTTTTTTGTGAGAATTCAGTTACAGAAATGATCTGGGAATTTGGCCGTTAATTTTAGCTGTTAAAGGCAAACTGTAGGCCCTCCTTTTTGAGGGAAAGGCAGAAAGTGTGAGAGCTTTAGTGGTCTTCTGTTACCTACTTTTACCCCAAAGTTCCTAGTGGGGTTTTGGGGACCTGCACCAGTAAGCATTATTTCATGAGCTTAGGTTGTCATGTGGAAGTTTAGCTGATGTTTTATTGTAAAGCTTTTAACCCTTATTTTTAAAGACTAGAATATAAGTATTCTGCAATTAAATCTCTAAGGAAAGTCCAGTGTACATCACTCAGACTTGGGGTTATGGTCACAGAGCCATGATGACATTTAAACTTTTAGGTGCTTTTTTTTTTTTTTTTTTTTTTTAATATTTTGGTTGATAAATTTTGATTTTATTCTCATCTATTTCATCTTTTTATTTCAGTGTCCTGGGTCATGAAACTTAGTCCACAACAAGCTCCATTATATGTAAGTAAATAATGTGCTTTATTTTAATTTTGTACTTATCTGTATTTGTTTACTTATTATAATTAACTTGAAATCTCATAGAAATGAATGAAAGTTTTGCACATCTACACACAGTTTAAATGATATAATAATACACTTTTGAAATTAACTTTGCTTTAATAAGCAAAGTTTCTAAATATGCATGGAACTGAAGTGAGAATAGTATAGTATTTTAACAGAATAGTATTTTACTCTTTGAGGTCATCTTGTCAGTGTGATAGGGTGCACATATGAAATCAGTTGCCGTGCAGGTGCTACTTGACATCTTATTTTTGCCTGGAGTAAAAATGCAGTTTTATGCCTGGAGTAAAACTTTTTCTGTAAAAACAGGATGGAGGTCTTCAACTGCCATTTGAGGCGCTCTACACTGCAACTATGTGACACCCTGTCATTGGCTAAAAACTACTTATCTCAGGACCCTGGCTAAAGGGGCATATCATTTCCCTAAAATAAGGCCATTGTAAGGTGAAATGGCTAAATGAATAAATCCAGGCTGAATGAGGTAAATTCTAGATAGTGGTTTTTTGTTTGTTTGTTTGTTTATTTGTTTTCCTTTGTTGCTGTAGAAATGAATTGACTCCTTTGGGGTGGGAAAAGGGTGTCTGTGGTTGAGGAGCCAGGCAGTACTATAAGAAGCCCTTGGGCCTTGTTTTGCAGTGGTTGGAGACTGGAAGAAGTTGCCCTGTAGTAGGATTTGAGTCACCTTGAAAACAAGGGCCATGTAGTTGTTTCAGAAGTCTCCACAGGTTGTTTAGGACAAAGGACAGATGTTGGAACAGTGGGAGGCAGTGAGTATCTATTGGCTGGGTGACTGCATATCTGGGGAAAATATCTATTCAGACCTTTTGCCATCTAAATATTGGGTTATATGTGTCAGTGAGTTGTAAATAGATTATTTGTATGTTTTAAAAACATTTCCTTGTCAGGTTTGTGATATGCAAAGATTACAGTTCTGTTCGTTGCCATTTTGCTTTTTAAGAAGATTTTACTTCTGTGTGCGAATATTTACTTACATGTTTGTGTGCCACATGCATGCCTTGAGCCTTTGGAGACTAGCAGGGGTTGTTGGATTTGGATCTCCAGGAACTGCAGTTATGGTGGTTGTGAGTTGCCATGTCAGTTCTGGAAGTTCAAGGCCATCTTTGTTTACCTAGAGAACTTCAGGATAGCCAAGACTACATAGTGGGACTTTCTTTCCTCTGTCCATTGTATGTATAAATTTTAGTTTTTGTTTTTGTGATTGATAATTGTGGAAGAGAAAGTAGTGGCAAAGAGATGAGGCGAAAATCGTTCTTATCTTACTATCGTGGACTGTACCAAATGTAGAATATTTATAGAGTAAATAAGCACTTGAGAATTATCTGCTTCACCCATTTTATCCTGACTTAAGGAAACGAGGTCTGAATGTGATAAAGTGACATAGCTGTGATTTGAAGCTGTTTTCTAGATGAGTCAGAAAGCATCATAAACATGTTAAATTTGAAAAAGCTTCATTCTGGGGGCAGGGGAGATGGCTCAGTTAGGTCAAATATGGGGACCTAGGTAAAAAGCCTGGTATGCCTGGGAGGTGAAGACAGAAAGATCCTGAGAGCTTTCTGACCAATCAGTGAAGTCCAGGGTCATTGAGAGACTGTCTCCACTGGGGAAAAAAAAAAAAAGTAGTGATAGGGAAGATAGCAGACTTTGATTTCATTGAGAGACTGTCTCCACCGGGGGAAAAAAAAAAAAAAGTAGTGATAGGGAAGATAGCAGACTTTGATTTCTGGTTTTTACACACATACACACACACACACACACACAGAGATAGACTGAATAGCAGCAATAATAAGCAAAAAGTAAAACTCCTTTAGAAATGTAAGAGTTTTTTTGTTGTTGTTGTTGTTGTTTGTTTGTTTTTGAGACAGGGTTTCTTTGTATAGCCCTGGCTGTCCTGAACTTGCTTTGTAGACCAGGCTGGCCTCAAACTCACAGAGGTCCACCTAGCTCTGCCTCCTGAGTGTTGAGATTAAAGGCATGTGCCACCATGTCTGACTACAAGAAATTTTGAAGGAATCTTCTTAATAAAGTAAGCATATAATATATGATTACATATGTAAAGGAATTGAACAGGCTCTACAGAAGAATCCCTTAATCTTCAACTTACAAATATGTATGTCAGCAGTCATTGTTAATGGCACAGTTTGCTGTGTCTTTTTAAAAAGAGTAAAAGTATATTCCATTCTCAGTGAACTGAATTAAGAAAAGTAGGTGCTATATGGCAGTGTGTTAGCCAGGGAGTCAGTTCTCTGCACCTAGAAAAAGAATTACTGAGCAAAAGATCAAAGATTATGTTGAAGTCTTATAAATTACATATTTGATGTCTTCTGGGGTGTTATGAGCAGAGGAGAGAAAACTGCTTTGAAAGAAGAAAAACAAATCTTGAGAACTTTATCTCTAAGTTAAGATAAACAGACTGGACTACAAATAATTATTTCACTCAGTCTTTTGGTGGAGTTTCATATTAAATAATTTTCAGTAGTTTAAAAAAATGTATAGAGGTACACACCTATGATTCCAGCAATTATGAGGCTGAAGCAAAAGGAATACCATTTGTTTGAGGCCAGCCTGCGTTACAGAGTGAGACCCTGCCTCAAGATAAGCGTTCTGCACGATTCAGATGCTTGTATTGTGAAGTAGTTTAGATGAGACTGCTTTAATGCATAATTATTTCTTGGAGGAAATGTTCTCGGTGGATGTGGAGTCACTGGGTTGTAACTTAGAAGACCAGTTGCTCAGTGTGTGTGTTTTTCTCTCCTTACCTATTATTCATGTGTGAGTACAGCCTTCATGTTAGGAGGAAAGTGAATTATATCACTAGCAGATGCATTTCTCATGTCTCCACAAAAGTATTAATTGTTGCCAGGTGGATTACAAGATGCCTGTAGGTTCTACCTAGTGGAGGTGATTAAAATTATGAAAAGTTTTGTGTATGATGATCTTGAGAGTATACTAAGAGTGAAAACTAGAGACAGTGGTAGATGTAAGCAGTGTTTTAAAAGAATAACAGAACCAAATGTTTTATTTAAAATGAGAAGTGAAAGAATAACGAATGATTGACGTGGGTTGAAAATTTGAGTGTGACAGCTGATGCAATTGTAAGCAGTAGAGGGGCCAGGAGGTAATACACTTGTTCTTTAAATACATATGACACATAGTTATCCTATGAGATGGTGAGCTTGGACCTCTAGGGCAAAGAAATTGAAATGGAGATAGTTTGTATCATTACTGAAATATTGGTATTTTTGACTGAAAGTAGATGAGCTCTTTGAGAAGATAAAAAAGTAGATGGCATTAGAATAGGGGACAGTCCAGTATGAAGACAAAGTTGAATCAGGAGAAGAATAGTTTCAGAAGGCTTTTGGGCATATTCAACAATAGACCCATGTGTTCCACTGGACAATGAGTGGGTCCAGATATACCCATTCGATGGCTGTTGAGCCCCACCATATTGATGGATGCTTCTCAACACAAAACCAGGAATTTGAAAATTTTGATTGCATAATTTTCAGGCATAAATTGTATAGGTGACAATGTTGTATAACAATTGTTCAAAAGTTTGGGCATACCTACAGATCAGTGTTCGATTCTTTAGCATTTTATTCCTGGGATAATAAATTTCAGTCACACATCAGGATTAAAAGTGAAAATTAGACTGGTGCTGGAGAAATTCATTCTTTAATTCAGGTGTCTTGTTTGTCGCAGCACTTGTTCCTGAAGCTGGGGTTTTAGCCATGGACCAGTAGGAGGTCTCTTGGCACCTGTATTACAGTAAGGAGGGGAACACAACTGATGCAGAGGACATTTTAAAGAAGAAAAATGGTTTATGAAACTAAATAAACTCAGAGGATATGATGGTACCTGCCCAGCGGCTTGGGTTGGATGGCAGAGAAGGCCAATAAGGGTCTTGTCGCAGAAGCAGAGACTTGGGTAGTCGAGGGGAGAGCATAATCTTCAAAGGAACCAGTGTAGAAACTCCATGTGAAACTGTCTTGGTGTAGGAGCTGGTTTCTAAATATTACTTTATCTGCGGTTCCTTAAGCCTCTACCTCCCTAGGTAGGAGATACGGTTAGAAGGGGACAGGGATGGAGAGCTCTTTAGACTTAGTTTTGGCAGGTTAGGGTTGTCAGGTTCTTTGGAAAAATACCAGTCTCAGTCATCAGACTATCTAGCAGTCTAGCATCAGGAAACAGCAAATGCAGTGGGATGGACAGACAGCCTCCTCCATCCACCTCCTCGAAGCCCCTTTCTCTCTCTGGGTTCTGATATTTATATTCTCCCAGAGTCCTCAGAATTTCAATAACTAGTGACAAAGACCACGACCCACTTTGAGCCCCACCAGGCTGTTATCAGCTATGGACAAACTAAGGCAGTCCCATATCCCACACTTGGGGTTAAAACAAAAACATGTCTACATAGCATAACTGAGTTTTTAAAGAAACCAAAACTTTTACTCTAGCTTGATATCACAGAGGAACAGCAGCAATGCGTGGGTAAAGTGAGCACGTGGGCTTATAAGCACATGATCTCCTGTGGATGAGGTTAGAAACTTAAGGAACAAGGGGGAAGCTAGATTTGTAGGTGACCACAGACCTTAGGTAATCTCCCTGCACCCACCATCCCTCACAGGGAAGAACAGTACCTGTCTTCACATACTTTAAAAGCTAACCCTGTAACAGCTTGGAGTCTCTTGGGATGCTGTGGCTTATCCTAATGAGCACATGCTGGCCTTGGGAAGACATTTAGGCAGTTTAAGCATATGTATTTAGGCAGTTTGAGAAAAAATAGTTCGTCTTTCTAGCCATTTAGATCAATGTTACAGTTGTACGTAGATACTTTTGAGCTGAGGATGGATGGTTTTGCAGATGAGGCTGTCTTTTAACTTAGGACAGTGCAGTCAAGATTCTGCTTTTGGAAAAGTTCT